ATTAAGAGGTCCAATGTTATTTTCTGCATCGAATCCTTTTAATTTCTTCCGGTCATTATTAATAACATAAACTACATTGTCTATGGTAACTGAAGTCTTTGCTATGTTTGTGGATAATATGATCTTACGAAAACCTATTATAATGCTAACATTAGACAAAAATGCGTTTAAAGAATTTTAACATTTAATGCTTACCCCGAGGCGGCGATTCAAAAACAGATTTTTGAGATACAGTAGGCAGGGGCGTATACAAGGGGAGGATGTGGGGGTCGGATCCCCCCCAAAGGCCTTTTTTTAAATTTTATAAAATAGTGTTCTTAATGACTTAATGTAAGGAAATTACAAGGAAAAAAAATGTCAAGAATTTTTTGTAAATTTTTATTTTAACACAATATTCAACAATTAATTAAAAATAATTTACTTAATATTAATCAGTGATCATATATTTATTTCATATTCATATAATCGTATTATGTGATATTTGATAAGAATAATAATATGTGGCAGACCAGCCACGGGCCGTCGCCACCGTCACCGATATCAACGCGGCGGAGACGACGCCCGCATGTCCGTGCATATAATAATACATTTTCCTATACATTAGAAAAAGAAATATTATTATGGTATAATATAAGGTTATTGCACGATGGTTTTTACGCATTTATACCAAAACATTATCAATTTTGTATATTATCAATTAACATGGATATATCTACAACATACTAGCTAATAGCTATCAGTAATTTGTTCATTGAAAGCTAAAAATAGCTTAAATAATAAATATTATTGACTAAAAAAAAGAAAATTAAATTTTGTTTTATAATTACTTGTAGAATTTAAAATAAAATGTATTGAATATATATATGTTTTATCATTTATTAGGTATTTAAATGAGCACATACCTAGGTTTAGGTATTTTCGTTCCATAATAATTTGTTTTCAACTGATCCCCCCCATACAAAAGTTATGTATACGCCACTGACAGTAGGTGACATGGAATTCAAGAGAATCAGTATGATCGAGCTACAAAATAAAAAAATTATTATATTTATAAACAGATATCAAAATTTTTATGAAATTCTACATTTATACAATATACTTTACATGTATTTCCAAAGCGTTAGTCTTTTAAAATTTTAGTCAGTTTTGATATTTGATCCCATCCAAAAAGAAACACAAGTATTGCACCATCATCTTTATTGTTACAAAATATGTAATATATGAGTTCTAAAATCAATTCGTAATCTGTATCTTCAGACATTGGATTTTCCAACCAATTCAATATTGCAAAAGGATATTTTTTGAATCTCTTCATTTCACTACAATAGATTTTGTTATTTGATTATTTGTTAACAATATGTAAGTAAATATATCTTAATATATCTTTTACATGCATACTTACTTTACATAAGGAATTACAAATTCAGTGAAGGGATCACCAGGTTTAATTTTGAGAGATCTTTGTGTTGGTTTTTTAGGAAAATATCTAAACCTGTATTCAGCAGAAATAAATGAAATTATTAGATATTAGCAATGATAAACAAATTTAACAAACCTATTTAACGTATAAATGTCTTCAAGGAAAATTTCTTCAACTAGATATGTTAATCCCTGTATATTCAAAGATGGACAGTCATTGTAATACTTGGAAAATGCTGCAGCATTAATATAACTTTAATATGAGGTCTCTGGATTAACAGTACAAAAAAAAAAAAAATTAGTACAATTTAAATAAAATACTACGATAGCAAGAAACATAATATGCATGTAATTACAACAGGTATGATTCTCTCGAGAATAGTTAATGTAAAATCACTAATGGTGTCACGTTCATGTATTTCATCAATGATAATATGTGAGTAATAATTTAAAGCTTAATCTCTTTGGATATGTCGAAGTAAAATAACAGTAGTACAAAATAATACAGATCCATATTCACGACCCAATTTTCTAAAATATAATACATTATTTTAGATATTAGTTTCTTCTATTTACTTAATATTATAATCATGCACCTTGAAGAATAAATCATTAATATATTTATATTCTCTAGTAAGTATTTCTCAACCTACTGTGAAAATTTAGTTGAAAATAAATGTAATATTAATAAACAATTCATATTAACCTATGCCAATAATTAAGGTGTACAACTTATTAGTTTGTACCTATAAGAAATTTTAGATATTCACATACTTCAACAGAACTTTATTTTGTATCAACTTGCCACTTAATCGCAATGTCCCAAAATACAGATAAAATTGTCATAAAAATCAGATCAATAGTGACGAGTTCTAAAATATACTGAAGTCAAAACTAGTTATGTGTTTCTTTGCAATTTAAATATGTTGAGGCCCTTTGTGTTATGGAAATTGGGTTATTTCTCAGCAAAATTGTATTGCCTAAAAAATTAAAACTATGTTAAAAATATGTCAGTGCACCATTTGTTTCTCTCTTTGAATAACGAGCAACATGCAAGTGTGAGTACAGTAGATCCAGTTTTGTACTGTTAGCTTTAATATTAGAGTTATATGGCATAATATTATAATCAAACTTAAAAGCAAATATATTTTTCAAGGTACCTTATAGAGAAGCACTAAGCATTTATTTGTAATTTATTTTTAAAACAAGTTATGGATATTTTAATATTGTAAGATATAATTATTTATTTATTAATTTATTTTGACTAAACGGGCTGAGCCCTTTCGATATACAAATTTATGTCCACGCACACAATTACATATTATACAATGTGTGTCCCGTGAACAGGTGGGTATGTTAGTTAGTAAAATAGCTTTAAAATAAAAACCTATTAACAATATTCTCACCTTTAAGTTTCATAACTCGCTCCAATATGGTATGTATATAATTATCTTCAAGAAAGTCAACGTCTGAAAATTGTCAACATATTGGCTCAACTTAATAGTTTCTTGTATGTGGTACATCATATATTTCAGTTTTGAAAACCATAATAAGTATAATCCACTGTATGAACTAAAAACGATAAACCACTAAGTAACTTTTGGCTTTGGCAAACATTTAAAATCGGAACTTGAGTAATATACTTATATAAGTGTGTGTGAATTAGACATTATTAAGTTTCTAAGGCTTTTCTGGGTGAATTAAAATCATCGACTGTAACGTCTCCGAATCCTTTATATGTCTGTTCATTTTCTTCAAACTCATCGTTGGAGAAATATAATTTTCTGAAAATATAAAGTTGTAAAAAATATCTGAATACCTACCTAATTAATATTAAAATAATTCAATATTAAAAGATTTTACCTCTTAGATGATTTACTAGTCGTGCTCAGAGTGGTACCAGTGTTTTATATTGTTTATTTTACTCCTCTAAACAGACATGCAGTTTGGATTATGTTTTGTGACAGCCTCTGGCCATAATAATATCTTCTATATACTGAGCCTTGTGTATAATTGCTGATTGTGAAATGATTACCGCAGATTCTGCTCCAGATAGATATTGGGTAATCATTTAATTTGAAAATTTATTTCCTTCTATTTTCATTTTTTGGAGATCTATATTTGTGAACAAATTACACTGGCACTATATTATTAAGAAATATTAACAGTACAACTAGAAAATAATACTTACAAATGAAAATTAAGGTAATGTGGAGAGGCGATACTTTGGATGTCTTACTAAAAAGAATACACTTATGCATGGCAACTTTTTACTAAAACGTATGAATACAACACTGAACGAATGTATAGTAGTCTGTATTTACTGTTTCCGTTCAAATTTCAAATACCTAATCCAATGATTCAAATGATTCAATTTAAGTCGGCGAACATTAAAATTAATAATTATATTATGTTGTTGTTATTCATTTGATAACATTTTTATTACTATCTTAGTGATGAGCACGGTATTTAAAGACTTTAATAAAATTGAATATTATTTTGTTTTAATGTTTTTGTTGATGTGATAATGTGATATTACCTACTTATTATTTATTAATTTAGAGTTTAGTTATTACCACGAATTAAAATATATACTATTTTAATTCGTGGTTATTACTTATTAGCGTGGTTACTGGTTATTACTTCAGTTATTTAGACAATCTGTAATTAAAAATATATTTATAAGAATACTTCCGACTTCCACAGTCTTAGTCAAGTATGTAATGATTATATTTTATATTGACACATATTTCTATTAATCTAAATTCTAATATATCCAAGTCAATATATCATTGCTTAATGTTACGTCGTTCTTTTTATTGTTGTTCAAGGATTATTGCTTTGGTTAATACTTAATTGCTATGGAGGCCCGGCATAGAAGAAACCATTCATTATTAATTATCGTCATACTTTTTAAAACAGCCTGTATATATGATATTCTACTGATTTCACCACGTGAATATTGTAACATTATCCGCAATTAGTATCTTACATTTGTGTCCGCAATTTGTATGTTACCTTTTTAGATTTCGTCCGCAACTCACATGTTTTTTGTCACTTTGTCCGCAATTCGGGAACACCGACCTAATACAAGCTGCTAGGAAACATAAACATATAATACCAATTATAAATAATAAATGGAAATTTGGTTTACCTGCAACAAGAAATTTTAATATTAATCGCTACTCAGGTATGTACATAATTGAGCTGAAATACACAATAAATATATTGGTTTTATTATGTGTATTACTATAAAGTTTAATTTTTTACTTTGCTGACGTTTGTATTTGATCTAAATGTAAGTAGAATATTCTGTTATTTTAAAATCGTTTAGTAGGTGTCAAAATTATAAATATATATATAGGTAGGTACGTTTATGAAATAATGTACATCTATTGTATATTTGTATTAATTAAATATACCTACCTATTTACGTTATTTGTAATGTAAAATGTTAATAATACTATCATGTATACATATGGAATATTATTAGTTAATAACTACATTAATAATTACATATATTTTAATGTATGCTTGACATTCATATT